TAGTAGAGACGGGGTCTCGCTCTTGCTCAGGCTGGTTTCGAACCCCTGAGCTCAAACAATCCGCCCGCCTCGTCCTCCCAGAGAGCTAGGATTACAGGCGTGAGCCACCGCGCCCGGCCCATATTTTTCAGGCTTTAAGCATCTGTCTTCTTCTCTAAAGCTTCCCTAGTTTCTTCACATGTCTGCTTAGGAACAACTAAAACTAAACTGTAATATATCATAGCGCAAAAAGAAAAATACTTACTAAATGATCCCAAATTAACTAAGTCAAATAAAATTAATAATTCCATTATTTTTAGATAGCCAATAGGAATAACAGCTTCTTCCAAGTATGAGATAATGTGTATATCTTATACCCAAATTAAGAAATACCTGTCATAGATTTTAATACCTAGTTTTATTAATTTCTAATTAGATTTGAATGCTAATTTTAGTATGTAGTTCAAAGTAACAACCAAAGAGAAACATTTGAGATTAGTGGAAAAAATTTCCACAACTTTATAATAATCAATAGCATTCTTTATATGAAAGTCAATTCTTAAAACTCTCAAACTTCAGAACATAAAAATAAATTTCCATTTATAGATTTCCCGCTTTCAGTTCCAAAATTGGTTATTCTAGAATAAGCAGTCCACACATAAAATTTAGCTGAATAGGAAACAATCACTGAATGCAAATATCAACTCAAAGCACATATTTTATATATGCTTGTTTCATATTTCCCTTTTGTTTCTTTCCTAGACAAAATCGGGAAACAGTAAAATTCTGACCAAGGACATTGGCATTTTCAAGTAATTTAGAAAAGGTAGATCATCAAGAGAAACTCCTGAGACATGGCAGTCATCAGTGTGTTCCAAGAGCCTCTGACTACAAGCCTTCTCTAGTTCACCCCCTGAAGATGGATCACTTGTGCTGTTCATGCAGATGCACTCAATTGCCTTTACAAGTTACAAATACTCCACTGCCAACCAAATGTGTCTTTTCTATTTACGTCCAAACATTTTTCACACTCTTTAGCACAGTAATCTCCCTTCCCAAGAGAAGCTAATTCAAATACACTCATTAGCATCTTTGGTTACAAGGGCAATACAGTGTGTAGATGCTGTTAATAAGGGTTCTATCATGGCTAAGTCAAGATTGGAAAAAAATCCTATAGGTAGATATAAATGTAACCTGCACTTTCTAAGCTCTTTACAAGTCATTATATAAGGTTCAGCTCTTTTTCAAATTTTGTACATATTAACAGCAGTCATCTCTCAATGGGGCCACTTTCTGTAACCTAGGCCAACTGGGAAGGTAACTGAATATGATTCCTCCAGGACAGGCTAGATCTCCAAGGGGCACACAAAGGACAAGAACATGTCCAGCTGGTTCTTCACAATAACTTCATCTGGATGCAGCTTGTGGGGTAGATGATGGGCCAGGGTCATCTCCCAGGCATCGACGAGATATACTCCAACCCCTGAAAACATCCTCCGAAGGATGGTGTCCAGCTGAAAGTTGTACCAGTCGCTGTTGAAAAGGCTCACTTCAGGCCCCAGCTCTTGGGCATTGGCTGTCCGGATGACCACCACAGTCTTAGGGCTTCTATCCAGGAGCTGGACCACCGCTCGACGGATATTCCTGAGCCGCCGGATGTACACTTCCAAGGGGAAGGTGCTAAAGTGAGACCATACAGCTATGGCAACCACGGTGTTCTTCCCTCCCACAATACCGTTCAGCTCATTTGCCACATAATGGAGCTCACTGCTAAAGACAGTTGTGAAGCGGATGGGCGGACCATGGCAGCGGTATTTGAGCAGGATGTTGTGCTTCTGGTCCACTGCAAGGAAGGGACCCACATTCTTGGGACTGCCCAAGTTAAACTCCACTAAATCTGAAACAAGGAAAACCAAAGTTTATGAAAACATTCACACCAAATACACATATTTTGATTTTTTTACTGAATGGCTTCAAAGAACTTTTTTTTAAAAAAAGTACAATAAAAATGTAAAATAAATACTTATTTGACTGCACTCTGCTCCCCTTTCAATCAGTGGACCTTTATTCTAACGTATTATTTAAATCACTCCATAAATGCGATATTATAAGTAATACCATCAGTGATAGATTCTACACCTATGTCTATGCCTCAAAACCAAAATAACCTGTTTTCCTCTAATTATCGGGCCAAGAAATCTTGCTGTTTGCACTGATCATTGAATATTTAAAAATCAAGTTGAATTTACATCTATTCTTCTAACAGATAAATATTATTTCTTCCAGTACAATGGCTGTATCTTTCATTTTATGAGCACATAATAGGAACCAGAATTTTGGAAATTCTGTCATTTGACATGATGTACCTACAGGACATTATGCTAAGTGAAATAAGCCACACACGGAAAGGCCAATACTGTATGATCTGACATATGTGGAATCTAAAAAAGTCAAAGTAGAGAGTAGAATGGTGGTTACCAGAGTTTAGGGGATTGGGGGGACAGTGGGGATGCTGATCACAGGGTACGAAGTTTCAGGTAGACAGGAAGAAAAAGTTTTCCAGATCTATTGAACAGCATGGTAACCATAGTTCATAATAATGTACTGTATATTTCAAAATTGCTAAAAGGTGATTCTAAATATTCTCACTACAAAAAAATATATGAGGTGCTGACTATGTTAATTAGCTTGATATAATCATTCCACAATGTATACATATATCAAAATATCACACGGTATCCCATAAATGTACATAATTATTTGTCAAGTAAAAATAATATTTTTAAATAAAATAAAAATAAAGCAACTTAAATTGTAATTCTGAAAAAAAACCAAAAAACCCCAAATACCTCTTTTTGCAATAAGCAAAAGAAAGAAATAACCCTGTTTCTTTTGACTTTCACTTTTACCCTACAGATGGAAAATCATGTTAATGTCCTATAGGAGAACTTCTACCTCTATCATGAAAATAACGAAGACAGCAACACAAGTTAAAATTCACTTCCCTCCTTTCTCTCCCTTTATCTAAGTTGTGTTTCAAGGTCCAGTTCTTTGGAGACATTCTGAAGGTCCCAGAAATCAGTGGGACTCCTTATTACTCCTAAAAATTGTGTATAATTCATCACTTAATATATGCCCCCATGAAGAAAGAGGATCTGTCTCATATCCCTGAATATTCCTGTAGTTCCTTACAGAGAACGGACTAAGTAAATGCTGGGCAACACAATTCAATATTTCCTAAGCACCTATTCAGGGCCCACTACCATAAGTACCACAAAGCCAGGAGTGCCCAGATGGATAAGTCACAGTCATTGCCCTCAGTGAGTTTACAGTCAATTTTGAAGGCATAATATCAGACTGTAATTGTCCTATATTCCTCCTAAGGGTTAAAGTAGGTTTCGCTTTTTTCTCCTTGAAGTTCCAGGTTTCTCTCTTAGATTTCCCTATGTAATTTATTACTACTTAGCATCCAGCCCCATTTAAACTGAATAAAAGCTCAAGCCACCACTTTCCTTTGATTAAGTTCAAGCACTGACACAGGCTTTATTATTATCAAGTGAAAATCTGTTGGTAAAGGGTATGGTGGAAAGTGATCAAAACGGTCAATGTGATCATTGCTATCAAAGGAAATACCATGCTCTATCACTAGAACTTAAGAAGCAAGCAACTACAGACATCTGGTCAGCATCAAATTGTGCCCAGCATCGTGCCATACAAATTATTTTCCTTCTCCTGATTTTTAATTTATGCTTTATCAACCAGAATTTAGCGATGTCTGCTTCAGAAAACCAAGTAGAACAAAAACTGGAATGGACTTTCCCCTTTGTGGGGTAGTATCTACTTCTTCCTCCTTTTCTTCTAAAAATTAAACTTAAAACTAAGTTGATATAATAAGTAGAAGCTGATTTAAAAAAATCACAAACAACTCACAACAAGCCATGGGGCTTTATGTCATGAAAAGCCCTGCCCATACATAGCCATTAAAAATAGTTTCCAGGCCGGGCGCGGTGGCTCACGCCTGTAATCCTCGCTCTCTGGGAGGCCGAGGCGGGTGGATCGCTCAAGGTCAGAAGTTTGAGACCAGCCTGAGCAAGAGGGGAGACCTCCCCTCTACTAAAAAAAATAGAAAGAAATGATCTGGACAACTAAAAATATATATATATATAAAAATTAGCCGGGCATGGTGGCACATGCCTGTAGTCCCAGCTACTCGGGAGGCTGAGGCAGCAGGATCGCTTGAGCCCAGGAGTTTGAGGTTGCTGTGAGCTAGGCTGAAGCCACGGCACTCTAGCCCAGGCAACAGAGTGAGACTCTGTCTCAAAAAAAAAAAAAAAAAAAATAGTTTCCACAGCTCTCTAAATTTTAAGCAGAGCCTTTATTTCCTCTCCCTGGTATCCATCCCTCCTCACCCCATCCACACCCCTTCCAGAAAGAGGAGAATGCCCATTGTGAAAAAGGGTGAGCCGCCAGCTGTTGGGATTTTGCTCTGAGTCTAGAGAGCAGCCCCAGAACCAAGCAGAGAAGTCAAGAAGCTGAGAATACCAGGACTCACCCACACTACCTCACTAGGCACCAGCTCCATCTCAGAGTCACACCAAAGGTAGGCCCTGGATGACACAGGGACGGCTTTGCTTCAGGGATGCATTAAAATGGACCACAGTAAGTTTGGCAACTTCCTTCCAGTTAAATCTACTATAAACTTGGAGGAAAGTGAAAGACACCTGTGAAGTGGCATGGTCCAGCTGTCTCATCTCATACCTGGAGAAATGAAGCCCTGAGAAGGAAATGACTTGCCCAAGGTCACACAGCTAATCAGTGGCATGAACCTCAATGAAAACCCAGTGCTTCCTCTAGTACAACACAACCCCACAGCTAAGCAGAAACTGTCACACATCTCTCCAGGGTTAGGATACTTCTGTATTCCTATTAAGAAATAACTGCTTCCTCTCCTGATGCCTTTCTTCAGGCATGTGAGTGAGTCTGCTTATTTGAAAGCTGATGGGAGAAAGAGTTATGAAACAAAAAGCAATGTACCAACCTGGAACAAATGTAGTAAGGTATTCGAACCATTGCCTAATTGTCGAATCACCAAATAAATGCACCACTTTTCTTTGTAAGCATTCTGTAATGTTGTCAGGGTCATTAAACTGACGCATCTTAAACTTTCTGGGCCTCCACTGGTCTTTATAATAATACCCAGAAGGAAAAGTTCCTGAGACTTGAGATAGCTCTAGGTTGTTAGTTTCTGTAAAGAAAAAGGGAAAAAATAAGATATTCTGAAATTCTCCTCCAACAATCGATGAAAAATGTCCCAAGACACATAATTATGCCCACATACTTGCTAGCCTGCTGGCATATGGGCAGATTTCCTGTTGTCATATCTCAAAGAAATCCCAGATTTTCCCCTGATACAAAAAGGTTCTCCTTTGCACAAAAATGGGAAGATCTGAATGGGTGTTGACGGTGTTGATGGACAGAAGATAATAAGGGGACTTAGAGCATTCCCTCTGACTATGCATGTTTTCATCAAAGCCAAATAAAAAGGAAGACAAAAACCAAGGAAATGCGTGGATTTATAAGCATTTGTCCAGCATTATCCCAGAATAGAACAGCTTCTCATCCAAATGCCTGTGAGGCAAGTAACAACTTAAGTTCATATTTTACATATGTATAGTAATATTAATCCACTATTTCTCAGCCCATTAAAAGAAAAGTTTTAATCAATAGTCCTATATTCAAATTTTAATTCCCAAACCCATCACTTAATACAGAGAACAAACTAATGACATACAGTCTAAAGGATTATTATCCACAACACAAAAGCTTCAGAAAGTCTTTAATGAGCAATACTAAAAATACATCAGCAATGTGTACTCATGGTTGTAGCTTAGCTACACATGACAACACAAGCACCGGGACACTTTTCAGAGGGAGTGTCAATATCTTCCTGCCCTAACACCTCCCACAGAAAATGCCGCTGTGGAAACAACACACTTTACATGCTTTAAAAAGGATAGTGATGGTTAATATTTCTTGCAGGTTTAATCTGCACCAGATGCTATTCTGAACAATTACATGTATTAACTCATGTGATGCTCACAATAACTACTAAAAGGTCCTATTATTATCCCTGCCTTTCAGAACAGTTAAGCAACTTGACTAAGGTCCCAGAGCTAAGCTAGTCAGTAGCAAAGCCAGGACGTGACCCAAGCAGGTGAGCCCTGAAGCCCATGCTCTTAACCACTGTGTTAGACTGTTTCTCAAAAGTAGATGTTTATATTAATAGATGTCAGCCATTTTTTTGAAGGAACAAATTTATTCATTTCTAACAATTATTCAAATCTACAATCTTCAAGAAACCACCAGTTTATATTACATCCTTACCTACCCCAAGGTTCAACCTTGACCATAATCCAGTCATTCTATAGTCACTTATAAAACCACAATTTGAAATCCAAGTGCTTATACAACTCAGAAATTTGAGTCCCTTATTTGTGACTATTTTCAGCTTATTTACCTTCTTGATATTATCTGTGTTACACGAAGTTATTTTAGTTTTTACTCCCTTCAAAGAAGGTACCTTATTTGACAGTACATATCTAATCTTTTTTCTTAGGCATCTGCTCATTCTTTGCAGATGCAGGGCCCAAATGGAAAAGAAAACAGTGTTATTAAAAGCTTTATTTGGAAAATGTGATTATCAAAGAAAAATTGGGGGTAAGGCAAATATTTGGCTTATTCAAAATAATTTCTCAACATGCTATCAAGGTAGTTACTTGATACTATACCTTGTCCTAAGCTCCCTCATTATATCAGTATGTCAAGGCTGCACAGCTAGAGAGCTCCAGAGACAACACCTGGGGCCCACAGAAAACATTTACTAGAATGAGATGATTTTGAAGTGATTTTGAAGTTACAATTTTTACCACTGTTAATTTGGTAGACTTGGCTATTTTGTGACAGATACATGTTATAAAGAAAAATATGTATCGCACAAGAAACAGTTACCATTTCCATTCAAATGTTAATTATATTCACAACCAGAGCTAAGTCAAGCAATGCAAATCAATTACTGAACCTGACATTAATTCTTTAAACATGCTGCATGCTACATAACAGAACTGTTTTTTTAAGTGAAATACATGTACCTACACTGCCCCCTTATGGTAAGCCGGGACAAAAACATTTCCTAACTATGGTAATGCGATTTTACGTTATCTGTGGTTAAATGTTTCTTAGAACTCAGAATGCATTTTCACATAAGATAATTGAGATATGAAAGTCTCTTAAATCTATAACTCCTAATGTACTATTCATGTGGAATAAAAATAATTAAAATATAAAAATAGAAATGAATTATTAATTTTATGGCTGTAAAGGCAGATATGAAGGTCTTTGTACAAAATCAGAAGGAACTTTTTTTTTTTTATTTTCGAGTAATGTCCCTGCTTTTCTAAGATGTCTTGGCTTCTCTTTAAAGCCCATGGCTTACATTTTCCTCCAAAGGGTGTCATCCCATGTCATCCATTAGCCATAATGAGGGCTATTTGCGCCACAAATGGGACCAAATGAGAGAAAAAAAGGCAGAGAGATAAATTTCCCTAACCCATCTAGAAAGTGCTGGATGAGAGGGATACGATGTGAATTAAGGGTGGGAGGGGAGTGTATGCACAAGTGCAGCACAGATGTCCCTTAATTTTATGGTATTAAATTATCTGTAGAATTAAGGCAGGACAAAATGGAGTACATAATTTATGAGGGGAAAAAAAAGACAAGACAGAGAAGAAATGGGATCAAACAATTCCCTGCACCAGAGAATGCCATGAACATAGGAAGCCTGGGTACCATCTCAGCAGGATAAGGAATGAGGACAGTGTGTTGAGCTGTTTAGGCACACCCTGTCGAGTGCTGGAAATATGAGAAGGGCCTGGCTATCCAGTAATTATAGTGGCTTGGGTTTGAGTTTACTCCTTGACTTCTCCTATAAAACCTTGAAAATTTGATTGCTTTTTCTTTATATTTCAGTGCCCTAAAAGCTCAACATTTTGCAGAAAAAAAGTTAAAAATGCTGTATAGGTGGAAATACCCGCAGATTCATAGAATGTCGACAGGGATCTCAGAGAACTACTAGTCCAAATATCTTTCAAAGGTGAAGAAAGCAAACTCACAGAATGACCTGCTAAAATTTCTCAAAGAATGTAGAGACATGTAGTGGTAGATGTGGCACTGTTTATACAAATATATTTCATTATTGATGTAGTTGTGAGAAAGGGCTTCCTTCCCAAAATTATATCAGTTAGTTGGTTTTATATGGAGGATATGAGCCCTTTGATTTCCTAATTTAACTAAATAAAATGTATTCTATATCAAATTATTTTTTTCAATAACTGGAAAGTAGCTGTTTTTAAAATAGCTTTGTCCCATTTTTTGTGATAACATTTCTCTGCCATTTTCTAGAAATCAACATCAGAGTTCTCATCCACAAACTGACTATTTTAGTTTTCATTCACTATTTACCATTCACTTCATCATTTGAATGCATTTGGATACTAGAGGGTTCATAAATTTCTCTACTGTAGACAAACCAAAACATCCAGATACCGTTAGACACACCTCCTAAGCATGGTTAAGGGTAGTAGGAAAAAATGCTACACTAGGAGTCACAGGACCCAGTTTAAATCTGACTCCACATCTCCAACTACGAGACCTCAGAAGTCACTTCTCATCTTACTTCCTACCTGTACCCTTAGAGTCTAGCCTAACAGAGCAGGTATCAAAATGATGACTGAACAAATGAGTCTCTGGAGCTCTGTTTTATCATCGACAAAATGGGTAAACTACTGGTTATTTTGAAAAGTTGTGAAAATTCAGTAATGAAATAGTGTGAAAGCACTTTTTTAAATAGTAAAGAGCTATGCTGGAGTCCTGGAAACATATGTTCTAAATGTTCTATATCCTGATCTAAATGGTAGTTATTTAACTAGTTTTATATTGCTGTGTAACATATCACCACAAACTTAGTGGCTTAAAAACAAGGGACATGCATTATCCCACAGTTCCGTAGGTCAGGAGTCCAAGGCAGGGTATAGTCACAGGTCTCAGATTGCAATCAAGGTGTCAGCAGGGCTATCTTCTCTGGAGAAGAGTCTTGAGAAGGTTCATGCAAGTTGCTGGCGGAATTCAGTTCCTTGTGGTTGTAAGACTGAGTTTCCCGATTGATTCCTTGCTGGTTGTCAGATGTAGGAGGCCCTTCAGCTCCTAGATTTGGCAGCTGCCTATATTCCTTGCTATTGTGGTCCCCTCCATCTTTAAAGCCAGCAATGAAGAATCTCCCTCACATGGAATCCTTCTCACATTTTGAATCTCTTTCTTCAGGAAGAGCTTGTTAAGGGCTTATCTGATAGGTCGGGTCTACCTAGGATAGTCAGCTTTGTCATACAGCATAATCAAATCATGGGAGTGACAAACTATCATATTTGTAAGCCTCTCCCATATTCAAGGGGAGGGGATTATGTAAGGGCACGTGTCACTGGAAGTCATCTTAGTATTAAGCCTACCATAGTTACAAAGATATACACAAATGCAAAACTTCATTGTACTACATAATTATGATCTGTGTTGTCTACTGCATGTAAGATATACCTCAATAAATTTTTTAAAAAGAGTAAAGGAGACAGGCATGGTGGCTTATGCCTGCAGTCACAGCACTTTGGGAGGGCGAGGTGGGAGGATCTCTTGAGACCAGCCTGAGCAATAGCGAGACCCTGTCTCTACAATAAAAAAAAAGAAAAAATCAGCTGGTGTGGTGGCATAGTGGCGTGCACCTATAGTCCCAGATACTTGGGAGGCTGAGGCAGGAGGATTGCTTAAGCCCAGGAATTCAAGGTTGTAGTGAGCTATGATCACACCACTGCACTCTAGTCTAGGCAAAAGAGCGAGACCTCATTTCTCACCAAAAAATAAATAAATAAATAAAGGGCTATAAAGATACTAGTATCTATACTATTGCTATTAGATCTATTCTTATCTCAAATTCTTAGGAAGCTCCCCTCAAAAATGTGAGTTCAAGCTGTCGATGAGGTTAGAATGTGCCAAGGTCCCTGAGCCGTTCAGCTGTGACAGTCAGGGACAACAGTACAGATGCTAATGAAAACTCAGCAGCAATTCTGGCACTTGGAAAGCCTGTTGGGAACCAGACACTTGCCCTTGTTAAGGTAGTCTACTCTAATTAAAAACCGTTTTTCTTTGCTTTTACTAAAATTACACCACAAATGGCAGGAGCACTAGCAATCTCAAGCAATCCACCAGACTCTAAATATGCATCTTAGAATAATTTTACCTTGTAAGAAAATTAATTAGCTAATACATAAATAAAATTTCATTGGAAGAAACTTCAAAATATAGGATTCATAAATGAAATTATAAAAGTGGAAAGATGTATGAACTCTTCTAAGACTGGGGCAAAGAAAAGATGAGCCTCAAATATCTTGTGGTGCTAGAAAGTAAGAAGGTGATTCAAAAAATAAAAATTAAAAAGGATGAGAGTACATTAAAAGGGCATATAAGCCAAACTAAATAAGTTCCAAGTGCCAAAATTGGAACAATTTGTGCAAAAAAAAAAGTGACAGAATTGAATTGAATTATAACCCAAAGAATGAAATAATCATGAGCCCATACTGATTTCAATAATTAAATGGGGAAGAAGGGACAATTGTTTCTTTACAGAAGAATTCCAACTAGTAAGTGTCAAAGGAATGAGAGATACAGAAAGTCACCACGAGAACACAAGAGAAATCGTTGCTACAGGCAAGATCTGATGAACATTGATGAATGCTAAAATTAGTGGGTGAAAGTTTAAGCACAAATAGAATGTTTGAATAGAATGAAGGAGAGGAAGGAAAGTGAAAAATATGAGCCCTTCTTAGGGTCTTTGAGTGCCCTCTGTTGGTCACTAGAGTAAACTTCAATGAAGTTCTGCTAAACTGAGGTCCTTATAGTCAGTCTATAAAGCAATTGCCTTTTTCTTTTCTTTCCAATTATGTACCTGCTACTAGATGGTTTTCTCACTCAAAGCCAGGCTATTCTGCTCCTACTGATTAGTAGTTACTTTCTTCTTCTAAAAATCCATCAAAAGCCTCACTAGTTACTGAATCTGTCTTCTCTCTAACCAGAAGAGTATATCACAAACCTACAGCCACTTCCTGGCTGATTTTCCAGACCTGTCAAGTACAGGTAAAGCACTGTACTTCCCACTGACCAGTCCATGAGATACCCAGGGACATGGCCCCTCCGGCCAGCCAGGCACCTCGGATGAGAACTGCACCCAGGCCAGCACCAGCAGCTCAGCCACCAACAGCAGCCCCACCATCCGCAGTTGGCTCACCTGCAGCTGCAACCGGGCAGCCAGGTCTGATGGCCCAGATGGCAACCACTGCAGCTGGTGTGGCTGTGGGCCCTGCAGTCGGGCACACACTGGGTCATGCCACGACTGGGGGCTTCAGTGGAGGACGTAATGCTGAGCCCTCAAACCCTGACATCACTTACCAGGAGCCTCAGGGAAGCCAGCTGGCACAGCAGCAGCAGGTTGGCCCTTGCTTCTATGAGATAAAACAGTTTTTGGAATGTGCCCAGAACCAGAGCGACCTAAAGCTCTGTGAGGGTTTCAGTGAAGTGCTGAAACAGGGCAGACTTGCAAACGGATTATCCTAATCAAGAAGTTCAAACTGAAGAAATGAAAAATTGGCTCTCAAGAGCAAGTTAATTCAGTAATTGATAGTGAGAGTATAAAGTACAAAATCATCAGTTAAACCTCTCCTCTGTCATTTAATAGCTTCCTTGCTTCAGAATTGCAGTGGAAGAGGGTGTTCTTACTGTGTAGAAGTTCACTGAGATGGTAAAGAATTGGGGGCTGGGCAACTGTTGGTGTGGCCTCCTTAAACTAGCTGTTGTGATGTTATTTGCAAGGTAATTAAATAAAGTGATTTCCTTCCAAAAAAAAAAAAAGCCAGTCAGGGCTGTGGGAAAGAAGGGCAGATACAGTAGTGGTACAAGGCCTCCTGAGCATGTCAGACATGGGAGCGCATGAAGAGTGCAGTATTACTGAGGGACACTGTGTCTACTGACCTCCTGGCTGTGGGGTTGAGGCCTAGACAGACAGAAGATAAATATTTCCATGGATGATATTTCACATATGTATCTTCTAAAATTAGTAATTCATCTGGTTCAAGTAAATCAAATACAGCTCGTCATTAGAAAAAGACTGGGAATTTTTGTGGCATGTGACAGTAGAGAACAGAGGCATTGACTGGCAGTGCCCTAGCTACATCTGCACCAGACATACTTTATTTAGCCCACGCAATATTTTTTACATTTTCAACTGAATGCCAATGTTTTAAAATCTGGAGATAGCACATTTAAAAATTTAAAAATTCTGGCTTTTCATGAAAACAAATCTACATATCTGGCCACACAGGGTTTGTTTCTGCATGGTAACAAAGCAGCAGGAGCTGGGGAGAGGCTCCCTCTAAGACGGTCCTTGCTCTTTGGTTCCTTCGCCACCACTCGCACAAGGCGTGCATGTGGCTAATATCCATTCTAACTAAGCCACGTGTTTTATATACCTAGCCCCCGTAGCAAAAGGGTTTGCAACATCTGCCATGTGGGATTTTTTTTTTTTTAAGAGACAGGGGCTTGGTCTATCACTCAGGCTGGAGATCATAGCTCACTGAAGCCTCGAATTCCTGGGCTCAAGCAATCCTCTCACCTTAGCCTCCAAGTAGCTGGGACTACAGGAGTGTGCCACCATGCCTGGCTAATTCTTTTTTTAAATTTTAATTTAGAGATGGGGTCTCGCTATGTTGCCCAGGCTGGTCTCAAACTCCTGTGCTCAAGTGATTGTCCCACCTCAGCCTCCTGAGTAGGTGGGATTACAAGCGCAAGCCACCACACCCAGCGAGTGGGATACTACTGATTAATATCCTTTCAAAAGGACCTTGCCCACCATATGCTTAAGTTTTATAAATAATGTTCATCCTTTCTTTCTAAAAATCACTACAGCTAATTATTTCTGCAAAAACATAACACGTACATTTACTCCTTTGAATTTCATTCTTTTACTATTAATAATATCCGACACCAATGAATCAGAATCACCTGGAAAGTTTGTTAAAACATAGACTGCTGGGCCGCACCAGCCAGTTTCTGATTCAGTGGTCTGAGGTAGGACCTGAGAAACTACAATTCTAGCAAGTCCCCTGGTAATGCTGATGCTGCTAGTCCTCAGACCACACTTTGAGAAAAGCCACCATTCACCAATCCAATGTTTTTTATTTTAAAATTGCCCATGATAATTTTACCCACATTTCTTGAGTATCTCTAAAGCAGCAATATCCAAAACAATTTTTTGTGATGATGAATACATTCTCTATAAAATGCTGTCCAACACGGTAGCTACTGTTGGGCATATGTGAAGAACTGCATTTTTATTTAATTTTAATTAATTTAAATTTAAATAGCCACATGTGGCTAGTAGCCATCATATTGAACAGCATAACTCTAAAGACTCTTGAGGAGCCAAATAGAGGAGGGCTGGCAGAAGACAACCTTTATACAAGCATAAATAGTAAAACCCAGAATTATGCACATTAGGGCTAACTGACTTTTTTTTAATCAAACAGTTCTTTAAATATTTTTAATTGTGCCCAGAAGTAACTATGGTATATTAAAGGGAAAAAATTTTTTGTAACATCAGTGAAATGACAGAGCCTCCACCCCATTAATAAGAAAAACAAGTCATCAAGCTCATTCCTCTTTTACCTTTTATTCTCCTGGGAATCACAGTTACCCAATCAGGTCCATTGGAGTTTATTGGCATTTTGATATTGACACCACTTTAAGAGGAATAAAAAAGCACAAACTTAGGTTAAGGAACATTTATTTTCAGATATATATATATATTTGCAAGTGAAAAATGATTATAATTTCACAAAGCCTTATGATAATGAAATATAAATGTAAACAACACAATTAATAATAAACTAGTTCTCTTGTAATAAGTGTGTGTGTGTATATATATATATATAAACTAAAGAGGAATTAAACTGATTCCTAATTTTCACTGCACTATACTACTTAGCCAGTCCTAAGGAGTACAAACTCCAAAATGACCAACTCTGATCTGAATGACTTACTTCCCTTGGTTTTAGAGAATGGCTCATGCTGACAAGAATGCCTACTTTGTCACCACCTAGTTTTCAGGCTGCATGTGTCAGATTCCTTAGGCCTTGCCCACATCTGAGATGAGTCTCAATGGGGACCCCCAGATATGTACTCCTGCAGTTTATGTAACTTTGTTCATTGTTACTCTGCCTCTTCAGCATCTGTTCCCCTTACTAAAACACATACTACTTGAAGACATGGATGGTACCTCATTTACCTTTGTACCTTCAGCACTTACCACAGGCCCTGGTCTAGAGTCCATGCTCACTAAATATTTTTGGAGGGCTGCATGAAAACCTGGGGGAGGGTGGAGGCCAGGAGAAGAGTACTGAAAACTCAGTCTACCTATTCCAGAAACTGGGTCACAATAATTTAGGCCTTTTACACTTAGACCAAAAACAAACAAACAAAAATGTTAACTTTCTAAAGTCTTGATATGGGAACATGCATCACAATTTTTTATTGTTTCATCAATTTCAGAAAAGATTTGTTCATTTAAGAAATAATTTTTTTTTTTTTTTTTT